AGCAGACGGGAGGCCGTGTGCAAAACAAGGGGTTTAAACTAGTCAACGTGTTAGTTGACGCATTGACACCGTGCAGCCCCACACACAGAGCGAGCCGCGGTAACTAGTTAACAGAGATTCGCTGCGTTAATGCAGTTATGGCATTAACGTCATTTTAACGAGATTTACGCTGACAGTTTAAACTATGATGGACGTGCTTGAGCCACGCTATGACATCCCGTCGCGCGTCCACTTCAGTGACAAGATCACTACAAGCATGTGTGAGCAGGAAAGGTTTAACGTTGTGGCTGAGCTGTCCCACACATCTTCTGTTGCCCAACTACAAACGGGTGGAGCTCCAGGGCAACGGAAAGCCACGTGACCGCTCGTTATATCACAGCGGTAGATACACAGCCCTGCACTGCATCTTAATTTGTTTTTACATAATTGTGTGGAATGAGTCCTGAGTTGAATGTTTTTAACAGGCAAAAAGTACTTAAATAAGTTCATAAGTAAATGTTAAAATTTTCTGTTTTTTGCTGATCCGATCCGTAAAACCGTGATCCGATGTGCTTTACACCACTGCAGCTGACACTTCACATTGTGCTTGGTGATCAATGTTAAAGACACACAACAACACAAGCTTGTCTCACATGGTGCAGAGAAAACAAAACGTAACACATGAATGAAGAGGTGTGGCTCAGTACTCAGTTAATAATCTCAAACTGTAAAATACTGGCAGCCTCCTACAGTAGAGGCACCTGTGGCGTACATGTGAAAATCTCTGCCTTTGAATTTGAGATTAGTGAGATTCACACTCAACCAAAGTTTGAACAAATGCACGTATGGTAGGGCTGCACGATATTAGGAAAACCTGCGATGTGCGATAACTGTGATCAATACTGTGATGACGATATGACTCGCGATAAAATAAATAGCAAAAACAAAAAACGAATACATAATTTCCGTTTTACTGCAACAGTTTTATTTAATGAAAGCTGCTGTATTAGCAGAGTAACAACAAAGTACTTTGACATTGAAACGTTGCCCCCATAATAAAAATTCTGAGGCTTGAATCCTGAAAGACATCCTTCCTCGTCTCTAGAATTAGTTTTAAATAAACTTAAATTATACTGCAAATGATCTCAGTGCAGTTGTTCATCATTTTAACACTCACCAAGTAGTTATGATGTAAGTCTAAACTGGAGAGGAAACTGTACTGTAGTGCTTGCGTAGTTTTCAGCTTGGCTCAGTTCAAACATGTTTCGTACATTTGTGGAACGGCGACATTGGAAAAGTAGTTTCCACTTTACGTATCAGACTGGTGAAGCCCTCTCTGCTAACTGTAGTTATAGGCATCGTGTCTTTGTCAAAAACTGTGTAATGGCCTCTGTTATCTCTTTGTAGCGCTTCGACGTTTTCTCATAAGGAGTTCCACTTGAAAAACTCGGATACAGAGACGGCTGTTGGACTGCGGCGCTCTTTG